CTTTTCTTTTTTTTGGGGGGGCAGGGGCGGGCGGGTGAGGCGGCAGGGGGGTATAACAACTTAATATTTAAGGCAGTACCACAAGGAACTGGTACTTAGTAGTTGATTCCATTCCACCCTATTTATACAGCCCATGGCATAGGGCTGTGACAGATGGAAGAGGAGGAAGCAGTGTGATAGCAATAACACTTCTGTGCTTGAGCAATCCCTGGCTAGTACTTAGGGCCCATTATCTGCTGGTGTTAAGTTAGAGCACTCCTCAGGAGTTAGCAGCCCTAGAGACCTGGCACACTAGATTCTGCACTACAGACAGCTTGTGTCTGTCCCAGGGTCAGATCCATTGTTTTTTTATGCATCGATTCCCAGCTGTAGGACTTCACAGCTGTCTACCTACATCTGTCTACATACGGCCTACAACAGCTGCCTACGTATAGCTTGCATACATAAAGCTTTGCCTAGGGCAAAATTTTCTCATTTTCATTTAGTTTGACCTAGACAAAAGCTCATGAAAATGAAAAGCACATATGGTTGTATAAGCACTGGTCTGCAAGTATTGGTACTAGAAATGTGAAAAGGAAAGGTGCAGATAAAATGTCAGGGGCCCTGACATCTTAACTGGTATGCCTGCTGGAGATGTGATGGCAAAAATGTTACCGGATGGTTTATCTAGTGTGCTTCCTTTCTGTTAACACTGGTAGATCTCTGCTAGAGTAGCTGCAGTGATAGGAGCTCTTTAAAAAAGAAAAAAAGCAGAAAACAGGATAGACCTGGCAGTGCCTATTATAATTTAGTATTTTTATTGAGGCACAGCTTGAAAGCCCTGATCAGGAACTAAGGTTCTGTTTTGTTAGCTGCTCTACATGCATGTGATAGAATGACAGTCCCTGTTCCAAAGGGTATACATCTCTAAGTAGCTTACATGCCTTTTCCCTGTCTGAGCTATTTGTTCATTTCCTACAGCTGAGTACCTGGGCTGGCCTTCTGCCTTGTTGAGCAAGCTGGATGAGTTGCCGTAGCCTGAGCAGCAGTAGTAGGGAGATCCCTCCTTGTTGGGGCTTGGAGTCCCTTCCCTGGCATCTTGTCCTGGAATTGGTATGCAGTCCCCTCATGCCAATTAAGACTGGACTCTTGTGCAAGGTAGCA